ATCCAAAGTATATCACTGATGTAAGACTAAGAAAAACATTGTAAATAACCGTTGGTGACTTCCCTAGGTTGGTTGAGCCACTGTACAGAAAACCAAATACAGTGTTTTCTTCTCTCAGTGATTTTGAATCAAACGCGAAATGCTTAATTGTGCTCTTATGGCATCGTTTTTTCAAGAGACAAAAGGTAAAATTTCAATGCCACATATTTTATTTAAAACCCCGTTTTAACAGCTACACAAATAGCAACTGGTCTGCATTCTTCCGATCCTGGTTAGGCCCAAGGGCTGTTTGTCTCTGTTCGGAAAAATGATCGGATTAAGGTAACATTGGATTTGTTCTGACTTTGCTTCTGGCACGGCTGTAAGACCTATACTTATATTTGCACTTTTGATTTTGTTCGGCTTGCAATGTTTGAGTAGTTCCTAATTTAGTCCTCTGACGATGCACAGTGTTAGGCGGTCTGTTATTAGACTGAAAACTAGTTCGATGAAAATGCCTACTTGCAGTTTCATTGCACCTCATTTATTTATGTTCCGAAACCTGTTCTTCTTTACGTCCTGATTGACTAAACTGTTGTTTTTAAAGATCATCGATGAACGAACTCCCCCTTTCTTTGTAAGATATTTGTACGTATTTGGATATCCATTTCGGTTTAATTTGTTTTGGAATGTTTTCAGCTGCATTCTCAGGATAACCATGAAGGAAACCCAAGGGTGGCAAACACGTTTTTATACCTTGGTTTGATTAACGAGTTTATTGCCTTAGGTGCCACAAATTATTTGCATTATGTTACGTTTCGTGAATAAAAACCCCTCAATAGTTTGCATGCACCCAAAATACCATCATGCGAGTTTTGAAAGAAATTTATTTTTGAAGCACTCTATTTTTAGATATTGAACGAATCAGTCACTCCCTGTTTTATTTCCGATTGGTGTCGGAGAAGCACAGGCTTATCAGCTATCAGACATTGGTGATCAAACGGAGCAATCGGGACACAGTACAAACAGTGTCGTTGGATTTTAGCAAAGACAATTAGTGTTGAAATAAACACTCAGTATCCTTGGGCAAGAAATGAATTTCCACCAAAAACACCACAAATATTTCCAAGATAATTTTGAATATTCGGTACTCGTGACTGTTGATTGCTGGATCTACAAGAAAAAAGTTAATTTAACTCATTTTATGATTAACGTTTGTGTCAAGAACGTTTCCCAGCTCTGTATGTTCTACTAACAATAAACCCTTAGAGGAACTGTGTTGACTATGCCGTTGAATAAAATTTTGTCCTATTTGAAAATATTATTTTGAAGAACGTCCTTTGTTTTTTAAAATATAGCTATTTTTATTGTATATGGCATTTGATTTGCACATAGGTGAGAAAACAAAGTTATAGTTTGATTACAAGTCAAACCATTTTTATTCATCTTCAGCTGAGGTGACTAAAATTTCGGTGGAGACTGAACTGTACTTTTGTTGTGCGAGAGATGTTTACGGTAGATGCCACTCGAATCCAAAGGATGGTGTTGTTTTATGTTAATCAAAACCAAATAAAGTAAACTGTTTTATTACCTACACTACTATATTAAGCGCCCGGCAACCTACTTCCCGTTCAAGTTTACACCACACCGTAGCTAAAAGATAGCTATTCATCATTGCATATTACGCATCACATTACATCCTCTGGACCAAGCAAGGAGTAATGTTTGCCTGGAAGCGGGCTGTTCAAGATGAACAGTTTCGGTTATCGTGGACAATTAGGCGCGACAAATGCGTTAGTGGCATATCCTACTAAATGTGTCTTGCAATCCATATTTTGCCTATATAAATGCAAGCACGGTTTGCATAGCTCCTCGCATCTGTACTTGTGACGTCTTTCGCTCGAGTATCAGAACAAAACCTACGTGCGTGTCCTTATTATGCAGTGGTCCGTCTAGAACCAGATTCCGCCATATCCTTAAATCACAATCGTTTTTTTAGACTGTCCAGTTCTGAATATTTTGTTTCTGCGACCATATAATGTCTGTTCTGTAATGCAGTCCTATTTTATGCCTTCCAAGTGGCCTAACCAGTGTAGCTAAGTGTGCTAAGATGCTTTCAATCCCTCAGGCTTTTGCCTTCTGAATAACTTAATAGTGCACATAATTCTGCGAAGTTATTTCAGACAAAACGGATAAAGGAGTAGAAAATGACGCCAGTACAATGTCCATGTCTCCTCGTCCGTACAAAGACGTAGACAGTACGATAACTCAGCACGTTTAAGGTCCACACGCAGCTGGTGATGCACCAAAGGCGCTTACGTAGTCTTCCAAAAGCGATGGTATACTTTATTGATCGCAGTTTCAAGTACTGCTTGGTCATTAGGTCGGGAATCTGATTGCTATCAGTGTACAAATAATCTGAGCAGGAAGTTCGTCCATTGTCATTCGCCCCCGAGGAGGAGGCTGATAGAGAACAAGGTTTTCACAGATATTTTTTGTGAGCCAAGGCGAGATGTCATGGACACAGCTGCTACCTCGGCGAGAGCCAAAATTCCGGTTTGGTGGCCACTTGGACGATAAAGAATGCCTAAGCTGTCTCTTGGATTCTCAGTAGTTTTCGCATATATTGTGATCATATACAAACGGAATAAACAAGGTGTTGGTTCGTGGTTGGGGAGTACCCTCATCCTTCAGTGCTGAAACACCTCTAGAAATGAGATTATCTACCAAACTGTTCAAAAGATGTGGAAGGGACCATAGCATAATTTCTTCCATTCAACTCTACCCATACCATAGGGTACTTGCGCTATATATGGATACTTGCACATCAACATGATATTCGTGTCCTAGGGAAAAATCGGGTGGATCAAACAGTTGCAGAATTTTTGGATAAAGTAGTTCTTGGGAAACAATGTGAGTTTCATGTAAATATAATTTACTAAACAAGACAAATACAACAGTAATGTTTTAAATTCGATCTCGAAAATAAAAGAAATCATTGCAATCGTCCTTGAGAAGACCGAATTCCAAAACAAATGGATATATGCGCATGGATGCTAGACTGTTTTACTGTCATCTAAGTTGGCATCACAGCCCACCCTACGTGTCTGGGTTGCCGCACCATCCATTCTACCCCACTGTATGGTGACACACCATGATTCGTTCCACGATATCCATTCCATTGCATTTTGCGCATATTTTATATATCCATTCTCACAACATCCGCCTTCGAATACTCCCGAGAGTGTCATTAGAAATGATATTAGAAAAAACTTTCTGTAACCACCACCCTACAGACCAAACAGTTTATCGTATTTTTCTCTGTAAACTCTAACGAATGATTCTTGTTATTGGATCATACTTTTTATACAGTGTGATCTCTAACCGTTTGCTTTTACCATTTGTATTGTTATCTGTGGATGATCAGTTTGACATTCTGATGTCTTCAGAGATGACGTGATCCAATTACTCTTCACCGGTCGGACCTGCTCAGATTCATACCTAGTTTCCAGCAAAATTGAGTACAAATTTTTTGCGTTATGAAGCTGCTGCGCTCAATTACTTTTGTCACAGTTCGTTGCGAAGGGCAATCCTGGAAGGGAGGCCAACCTGTCATATATGTACTTACAAATTGTAAAACAAGGTTCTTACTTTATTCTAGGGATTAGATTTAACCAAGAAAATAGGAGATATTCTCTTTATACTCAAAAATTAACAAAAGACTTTTGTGAAAGTGGCATTTCGAATGTGAAAAATCAGATTACGGTGGTGGCAATATTATGTATAGCCGCTGGTTTCTTATCATAGCCTTCCTGGACTGGGTTCTTCAGTCCAAATACTATCATACACACTGTGGGGTGAATTCAAAGTAATTGTAATGTGGCTTCCAATAATTTTATCTTCAAATTCGCTTGTAAACTGCTCAAGCTATCCAACCAAACAAAACGCGGCGCAGTCCATAGATTAGAACACTTCAACCAAAAAGATCACCATCCACTCTCACCACTCCACTATTCCACGGAAGACTGTCAAGTGGTAAATTTTGATGTGCTCAGTAACATCAATCACTGAAATTGACTTTCAGCCCAAAAAATAGAGAACGAAAAACAATTGAAAGCGCTAAATTCGATCACAAAATCAAGACGCCTATTATTATCAAGATAAATTACGTAACGTTTCGTTTTCTTTAAACAGAAGATTGAGGAACGGATACATTTTTGTGCTCGCCAAACAAAGCTGCCTCAGGTCCGTATTCCACTAAATTTATTGCAGATGGACTGCGTGCGACAACAGCTGATTCAGACCTTATGTGACTGGTGAACAAAACTACTGATAACACAAAGGGCAAGTGACTAACCATACAAAATGGATCAAAAGTGGTGTTATTACACTGGTTCATTCGCAAACAGGATCGCTGTAATCATACAGACACAACTTACTGTATCGAATTTAGATACTTCGTCATCTGATGTTCTGTGCACTCTCTTCTTCCAACAATGCTCATTTGGAGCTGTACGTCTTGGGACCCCGTCATCTGCTCTCTTTGGAGCATATCCTAGTACGCACATGCAAGCACACTATCTCATTCATTTGGTGTTTCCTAACAATAAAATAGCCAGCAGTAGGACGACCGATGAGATTTTGTGGGTAGTTTTCACAACGGCCGACACCCAACGAATAGTTTCCTAAAAAATTTGGGCGTCCTATCCTAGGAGTCATTCCAAAGATTGCTTGTAAGACATTTGACTACCCATCAAGACCTGAAGGGAGCAACAAGCGGAGGAAACGCTTTTGCAGATCTCCAGATAATCCAGTTAACTTTGGTGTATCTAGATGGGGGTTTGAGAGAAAATCTCGATTTTCATGAACCTCTATGCGTACACTGGGATTCCTCACCAGCTTCACAAGCAGTGACTTCCAAATCTGACTAAAACAAGAGCTTGATTTATCTGATTCATCTGACCAAATCGCACCTCGGGAGGTCACACTTATAAACTACTGTTTTGTTATGAACTACGAACACGAATGGAGTCGCTGTATCCAAGCTCATGTATCATGTACTTGGTTTCACCCTTTATTCCACGTATGCCAAACTTCAGAAAGATGTACAAACCTTGCAGCTAAAACAAAAAGAATTAATGAGGAAGCTAATGAAACACGTGTGACCGATGTCAAAGATGGTGTTCAAATATCGGACGAGGAGGAACGAATGTCTTCTAGTGATTACATGCTGTAACACATATATGCATATATATACATTGCCTGCAGATATCACTTAGTGCTGACTATTTCACACATTGCAAAAGCCATTTGAATAAACTACCTCAGCTAGCTATCAGCAGTTCATTTTCAAAACTGAACGAGAAGTGTTCAAAGTATATCTGTACCGGAAAATGCCCTGACGACGGTTGATACCACTTAAATCCCTTTTCGATCCAACGGAATTTCCTCATTGGTATAGGAAACTAACTTAAGGGTGAGAGATACTTTTCAAAGCGAGAACGTTGATTCTGTAATCATAGGTGATGAAACGAAGAATAATATGTTTTTGAATAAAATGATTGGGTTTCGACCATTCTAAATCAACCTTTGCCCCGAAAAAGTGACTGCTAATCGTTAGAAAATAAACAAGCGTAAAAGACGTTTCACGAGAGACTCAACTGAATTTCTCGTTTACGATGTTCTACAAATGAATGTGCTGCACACAGGCCGTCTAATGAGTTAGTTGGCACGATATTCGAGTTATCGCAGTATATTTTCATAAAGGAAACTACTCACAAGGTTGCTGAAAGCTCTTCTCGAAAACCGTGTAATTTTGGTTTAAGTAGAACATAAGGTTGACGGAAACTCGGGGACTGTACCTACCTTATGAGCCTCAAAAAGGGCGAAACCGATCGTGCGCTGCCGAAGAGTTTTCAGCAACCATGTGAGTAGTTACCTTTATGGAAAAAGCGTAAAATGCCTTTTAAAAACTGTTTACTCCGATCTATGACTTACTGACATTATTTCTCATTCATGTTGATCCCTCAGAAAGCAACTGAATAAGTTGCTTGCAGTCTTTGAAGGTCCTAATTCATTGAGGCTTGCTTCAGACGTAATGTAACGATGAAACTTTCAGCATATAGCTTCTGAGCACTATTGAGTTCAAACCATTGTTCATCACAACGAGTAGACAATTATTGTCCAGTCAGCTTGTGAGTTGCATCGAAATAAACGAGCGTCAAATTAGCACTCACTCAGGTAGGTGACAATGAGTCGTATTCGTATTCAGTCGTATTCAGTCATTAACAGGTTGTCTGGATCCCACCAAGTCCACAGTACCCAGAAATTAAAATCATTCATCCACTGTTTAAAGCCATTAACTTGCTCAAAAGCGCCCAGGTAGAGTGGTCTGTATGATGCACTTGTACAACACAAATGATGTGAGTCATCGCTTAATCTAACCATTTTCACGATTTCGAAACCTTGTTTTCGCTTGCACGTCTTTGCTTTACTTCGCTTGTTCATTTCAAGACTGGTTGTGGTCTAAACGGTTAGCAAGCCCATTATTTCACCTGATTATGTGTTCTAAATTCGCTTCTATTACGAATCTCCTATTATTCGCTGATAAGCTAAAAGTGGCACATTCAACTTGTCAGCTATAGTGATTTTTGTAGATGGTTCCTAAGAAGGGCGAAACTCAAGCCCAAGCACTCACCTTCTGTTACAGTCTAACCAGAATAATCATGCTGGGCCAAAATGAGGTCTGGTTGAATCACAGTAGTTCACAGTATTTCCTGTCCATTTTAGTATTCTTTTCGACTAAACCCCAGGCAGCCGGCGTCAGAAGGTTCTCTAAGAACCTTTCATCGTACATGTGCAGTACAAACTTTCTGTGATTATCCGGAATCCAGCATAAAAATCAATATTCCTGCGAGGCACCGAAGAGGAGGTTTGGTGTGGCGCTTTGATTCACATTCAGCTTAATGTGAGAATGATTATCCTGTCAATACCTGCAATTTGATGTTCAGGTAGAAAATAAGATTGATAGTTTACTTCAAGAAACGGCACTCCCTTTACCCGAAGTCGTGAATATTCGTTATCTGACTGAGCACCTTTTACGTACAGTGTGGTGTCATCTGCTGCACAGTTCTACTTGGTGTGGCTTCATGATAGAGATATTCGTACCAACCATAGTTTTGGTGTAATTCAGTATTACGTGCTCCTTCGGGATCATTCTGCAACTTTTTGCGTTTTGCCTTAATCATGTTTGGCCGGCGCATTATTTTCTGTTCAACGTTCTGCTATTTTGCCTCACATCCTTCTGATACCACCCTTCGAAACATAAAATTTGTCAGCTTTTTCGTGGACCAATTTGTTTGTGAAGGGGTTAGTTCAGAAACTTAGGTGAGAAGCCAAGTGAGTACAGTGCACGCGTTGCACCTAAACTAAATTTTTTGTGTGTTCTTGTTTTCGAACGCCAAAAATAAAAAAAAACATTGACTAAACAGCATATTCTGGGCGAGATCGATTGAGCAGTGGCACCTTAGAAATAACTAGGCTGATCGTTAGACATCACATATTGCATACATTTGTATACATAGGGGGGGTGAATGAAACGAAAATCAATGCACAACTTATCTTATTCAAAGTACGATACAATCACATTTGAAACAAAAGTTGCATACATCATACCGAATTTTAAAAACCACTTAGTAGATTGCTGCGTAGGTTGGGATTGCTAGGGTTTTTCGGAAACCTGTTTTACGGATTTAAAAAGACCTACATTTTGTTTGATTTTTGTTTGATTCTAATGTTCTAATCAGGCTAAAGTAGTAGGTAACTTGGACTTCAGGGGAAGCACTAGAATTGCTATGTACCTGGACGGTGAGATTGCTCAGTAAATTCCACTGCCATTTAGAGCAGAGCATGGACCAAGTTGACCAAGGGCGTGGTCGGTGATGGTTGATTCCACACTTTTACATGAAATTTCTCATGACAGTTGGCATCTGCACAACAGTTTCTAAAACTATCACTTCTACGTTCGGCATCGCCTATGGGATACCGGCTTTCTAAAGACTGGATAAACGTGAATGAGTTGTGGACAGACATCTTATTCTCTAATTTAATGATGAGCATTTAGTGGAATTGGAATTGTATTCCAAATTGCATATAACTAGACGCTCTCCTAACAGCGTTGGTCAGGTGACACATATCCTGTATGGAAGCCTAGCCACTTCCAAAAAAGTCCCGTTTATGTAGCCTTTTTTCGACAAATGACCGGAGAGTTGGACTGCTACGCAAAAGAAAATCCTGGGGCAAGCTCAAATAGTGAGTTTGTCTCGGCGGAATTTGTCCAGTTTCCCTGTGTTCTAGAATCGTGAGCGTCATGTGGAAGACAAACTTTATGTTCTTTCGTTTTCCCATTTCAACTCTAACACAACTAGGCTTTTATGAAAGCGTTGATGCAACGGCTCAATAGATGGAAATTCTGTTTCGTTACTCCCTTTCTGTAACACATGATGTTGGTACGGATGCTTGGGATTTGAAGAACATTATGTGGAGACGACTGTTCGGTTAGACTGCCGTAGCGTGTACTCTGAAAAATACGGACTAAATACCTAAAACTTATTTGATTCTGACAAAAACAGAAATGCAAATTTGTTGCCTATATTTTTATAGACATTTGAGTTGATGCTAGTGGGGCAGATTTTGAAGTTTTCTATGCAGGTTTCGTCAAGTGAATGAAAGCACTCTATGAGAAGCATTGTGCAACTGATGCATCTTCACTGAGAATCAACTTTTGTTTTCAAACTGTAGCCTTTTTTACGGATAGGAATCTCGAACGGGTTTAAACAACTTGTTTTCGCAAATTTCAGTGTGCTTTTCCCAACCTGTCACCACTGTGCTTCCAGTGTAAATTTGTTACTGTTGTTTGAAGTGGGCTCGCCAAGTGATAAACTATCACTGTACCAGGATGAAATTTGTGTGACGGTGCACGCAGTTGATAAACAGATACAACACTTCCAAACTTTTCCAAGTTAATTTTAACGGCACTTATCTACAAGAAATACACGTTAACCCAAAAGATGCGTGAAATACAATCGATTACATGTTGGAAATTGATTTTAGCAATCTTAAAAAGTTTTACGGTAGCCACGAGATAATTAGTTGAAAACGCATGACAGTTTGATCAAAATCCCTCGAAAGGTAACCCATGAGCACTCCCCAGTTTGCGCCCTGTGATCACATGATACGACTAATTATACAGTGAGCGAGAAGAATCCAACCAACTTCAAAGGTGTCAGTTAAGAGTTCGTTAACTTGTAAATATTTGCCGGTTAAAAAGGAGTTTACATAGATTTAAATCTGTCAGAACTGATACACTTTATTTCGAAAAGTGGCAGTCAAATGGAAAAAGTTCAGGTTTTAAAATTTAACCAGGCTAGTTCCACCGTTTGACGGATTAGGTAGAGGTCTAGTTTTAGGAGTTTTTGATTGCCAGTCCGTTTTTTATCATATTGTTGTTTTTGACTTGGTAAGTTGTTCAGAATCGATCAGGTGTAAGATTATTTTATTCATTGGGAATGGGCCAATAACGATGTGTTTATTGGTTGATTTTTCCGTGAAGCACTAAGCCTTGGTAAATTCCCACAATTTTTATTCTTCCATGAGAAACGTTTTTTTCGGATGTAATCCAATTTGAACGAATGTAGTTTGCCGTCTTTGGGAACTGAGACAACTGATATTGAGTCATGTATTCTGTTGACACGCTTGTCTCCATTCACCCTGGAAAAAACCCTGACAAAACCATTAGGAATTAATACAAGCAAGCGAGATCATACAATAAAAATGTCGGCCAAGACTAAGAACATATAGCTTCAGCAAACTAATGGGTTCATCTATTTTTGCTTTAATCAACAAACTTCTGGTCACTAAGTCTACTGTCTATGTCGAAAAAAACAAGACGTTGGCATTATCGGAGTCTTGAAGGCAAAATTGAATTATGTACGTGTTCCCATTGCAGTTATTTATGGAAAGCAAAAATTTCCGACGCATCAAGTAAAAATGTACCGGTGAACAACACGTTACATGACGAATCTTGTTCGGACGCTGGCAAACAGCCAGTGGCTTAAAATGG